ATAATAATAATAATAACAATAATGATAATAATAAATAACATATATATAGCGCTTATCCCCGATATCGCTAATGAATGCACGTTTTCAAAAGCTTTAGATAGATCTAGAGCAAAAAAGTGTTCACTAGGCTATAAAATTCTTTTCTTATAACAAGTTATGCCACCAAAAAGTGTCAATGCTGAGCAGTAACTAAGGCCACATACGTATGCAAAACCTGTGTGAGAAATGGGAAGTGCTGTGAACAATCACATTTTCCGCATGACGGAGATTTAAACAATTTTACATAAATTTGTAAAGAACGGTTTTTAATAATCTAGCCTCAAATGTTGTGGGAAAATAATATGATACAAACTGCTATGCACAGTAGGGGTGACATTGATTCACCCGTTAAAGAGATATTTGAGGATAACTTGCGCCACGAATTTTTGAGCGCACTATTAAACTATAATTACATTTTCTTTCCCAGGAGAGGAGCGGGTCCATAAACTTGCAGTGAGGACTTTCATTCCAGGAAAAGAATTGGGCAAAGTGACCTTGACACCTTTCATTTTGTACAAAGTTGGAGTCTTCGTTGCTCAACTGACTCGGGCACTGGAAGTGAGAATAGTTCATTTGTTTACTCAAAATTTTAAAAAACGTTGTTTTTCAATGTAGATATGCTTTTTACGTCCCCATCAGCACAATTTAAATCATTTAGGAGGCGGGCTTCCAACCCTGCCTGTCTGGGCCAACCCGGGCTGAGAGGGAAGCATCCCAGTAAAATGACCGAGATAACTTATGCAAAATGTTCCCCACTCGTGATTGAACTCGGGTTTCCTGCTTGCGACAGGTAAGCACCAAATTGCTACACCACAGACGAGGGTACTCTTAGTGTAATAAGGAGTGCCCATTGGGGGATTGGTTATCTAATACAAATTGATCGCCAACCGATCGCCCAGCTTGTCGCCTCAAAATTTGTGCCTCGACAGCCACTTCGCGCCCTCAATCTGGCTAGAAAACTGAACCGAAGTGAATCGATCATGCCAATGGCATGGGCACTGGGAATTAGAGGAGAAAGCAGTTCTGTAATATACCCATTCATTTTGATGAGTTAATTATGTGATACAGGCCCCATTTGCTGATGGTCAGGGAGTTTAGGCTCATAAGAATATCAAGCCTTATGTGTCCTTACGAAAGACATGATATATATAGCTAAAAACAACGGCAACAACAAAACCCCACAGAGCGCTGAACAGTAGTGACCAGCAACAGCGTGTTTACTGTCTGTATTTTTATGGCATTGTGGATAAAGAAAAATTGATATACAGACTTCAACATAGGTTAAGGACCACTTCCAAATACTCTGAGTGGTCTTCTTGGGTCGACCTGCACGTGGGCGTTCTTGAACTGATCCAGTGGCTTGATGGCGCTGCCTCAAGCGAACAATGACAGAATTTTACCTGCAAGCCTTCTGGCAACTTATTGGGCTCCAACTCCATCCTGCAGCCATGCCATAGCCCTGGCACGATCAAAGTCTCTCAGCTTTCGTCTTGGTGACATGTTGATGCGATACTGGATTTTGAACAAACGGCGGCTTATATTGCCACCAAAGTGAGTACAGTTCGAGACCGTACATCCGTTTATCACGTGCACCAGAAATTTTAACTGAGAACTGTCCGTGGTGTCGAAGACAAGTCGATTAAAAAAAGAAAATTTCGCTAAAATTCCCCGAGGATTTCCGTGCTGCACGTGGTGGTT